CCGGATGCTCCAGAGAAACAGCAGCGGGAGTTCTGTGACACTGCTCGTGTGGACATCTCTAAGGAACTAGCAGGGAAAAATTCCCATTTTTTGCTGACACACACCAGCATACACAGTGATACTCAACGACTGTCCTCTAGGTGCTACTGCAACACAAAAAAATACAATTTTAATTATTTGTTCTTACTAACTAGGAATTGTTTTAGTTGTTGTGTGGTTGTATTATCTCGTGGTGTTAGTCATCTGTACCGCCACTGAAGCTGTAGTGACACAGGCCAAGCAAGAATTACTTCTATATGGTGCAAGGTTGCACTGATTGCTTAATTTGGTTCTGTATCCCCTGTGCTGTGCTGAGACAAGCCCGGAGGAGCACTGTGTTTGTCACCAGAACAGCCCAAACCTTCTGGTCGAGAAGAGCTTCTAAAGAACTGGTTGGCATTTGCTAATACCCAACACAGGAACCATTTAAAAAGCCTTGTTATATCTGCACCAAGTTGGTTCCTTTTGTTCTGTTTTGATTAACAAAATCAGATCAGTGCTAATAGTGGGGGGGAAGCCTGCCAGCTTCTCTTGTGGCAGGCTGGTGCCTATCCCAGACTCATCCACCGTGTGTTTCAGAAGCTGACACATGAGGACAGCCAGTTATCCTGGCTCCTCTTTCTTCTGCCTAGTAAGTACCGTGAATCCTACTCAAATGGCTGCAAGCGTCTTTCAAACTCCAACATGATTTCTCTGGTGGAGTAAGAGGCTTATTGAGATTGACTCTGCAAGCAAATCAGTGAGGTGGAAACTTACACCCGTGTCCAACAGACCATTTCTCTCCAGGAGAGGTGAATAAATGTGGCAATTAACCCAGTGTCCCATTAGCTCCCTTCCGGCCCTGTCTTGGCCATTAGCTTGCTGAACAGCCTCGGGCAATTCACTTTGCTCCCTCTGCTCTGTTTTCTGGGATGTAAAATAGGACAGCAACCAGCAGTTTCCTGGGCAAGGTGCTCTGACATCTCAGCACCTATAGCAGGGGGCACATGTCAAACCCATGTTCCTGTGTGGGAGCTGGACGGCTTTTGTCTCAAGCTTGAGATCAGCCTCTGAGGTGCTATGGCAGCAGAAAGACCCTCTTCAGAATAACTTGGTTCTGAAGTTACATGCATATATATGTATTTCTGAAGTTATATACTCCCAAGTGGGAGTGTTGTGGTTGTGAGGATGGTCCCAGGCAGACTCGGTGGTAAATACTTGCAGTCAGTGCTGCTTAATGCCTCCCTTCCCCTGGTCTGTCCCATTCCTTTCTTGGACAAGGTGTTTGAAGGCTTTTTCCTCCTTCTGTCCTGGATGTTCATCCTACAGACAAGCAGGGTTTGCAATAGTGGTATTTTGGGGCTGTGATCTTGAGGGCATGAATAGAACAGCAGCTGAATTTGTAAACTCCACCAGTCTGTCCTCTTGCAAGGGGAAGCTCCAACAGATTTTTTTCCACTTGTGTCAGTGGTCACTTGGTCAGATTCGTAGTTGTCCTCGGGACACTGTATGGCCACGCAGAGCCCGCAAAGGGGCTGCTCACCCAGGCAGCACCTTGCCTGGACCTCAGACAAGTGTGTTCTGCTTCTGCATCTGTCTGGGGTTTCACGGACGCTCGAAACGTTGTCACCCTGCCTGGGCTTTTTACAGTGCGTTTCAACAGATGGGTCTTACCCACCAGTAGTGAGTCTTCAGCTTGAAGCACACTTTGCAAATCTCAGCAGCGTTAGTGAGGATTCCCATCCCTTCTCCACCGAGAGCGCGTGCCCTCTACCTCCTAAACTGGGCTCCAGTATCTCACTGGGTTTCCTTGGTGCCTTTTCACACAGTTCTCTTTTTCCATTTCTTATGGCTACACGTCCTACAGCGTATTTAACGAACTGAGCAAAATGCGACCCCAAGATTACTCCAGAGAACCTGATGAAATACAAGTTAGTATTTATAAGAA